TTGACATACAAGTCATTAGAGCTGAATTTGAAAATAAGAAGAAAAAAAAAACATCGTGGGCTGTCCGTTTAGGCCCGCGAGGTAATATTATACGACTCCAGTTGGTTTTTTGGAAATTTATTTAAATGCAATATTAGATTTGTTCTCACCACATAACAAAAATTAACTAGCAGTTTTTATCATCAATAGTTTGAGTATTAGCCTTGCCAATTTCAAGGGAGATGAGATGGAATAACGATTCAGCTTGGTTGATGTCCATTTCTAATATTTCAAAGAGAAATACGTTATAGGTAATTCAACAAATTTTCTCTTAATTTACAAAAAGTAATATTTCAATCCTGGTTAGACATTTTTGTTGAATGAGAAACTAATCTTTAATTTGTTTGTTTTGGGCCAAATGTTTACTCATATACTATGCGTCTTGTTAACTTACACTACCTTTGGTGGAGTGGGGTTGAAGGTCATTGAGCTCTTGGCTAGCAGGCCGGAATCCGGAGAAGTGCCGTTGGGTTGGTTGGTCGGGCTTCCACTGGGAATGACCAATAGAGCATGCCTGGCCCAGAAAGTAAAAATAGATATCATAATTGATTTGCATTTCTTAAGGGTTGGTGTGGATGGTTCCGTATCAGAGGGAAGAGATGGGACATAGGAGACATCAAGATTATGTACCAACAATTTTTTTCTTTTAAATTTTAAATATAAAATCAAGGCATATCCTTCAAAAAGAAATAAAAAAATCAAACCAACAATTCAATTAAATTTGACCACTTTTTTTCTTTCTCTAAATAAAATGAGATGATCTAATTATTTTAGCTTAATTTTCATCTAGTGTCGTTAAGGAATTATTTCATGACCTGTTTTTTTGTTTGTTGGATATGGTATATCCTGGTTAGTTATTAAGCATATGCTATGAACTTTAGATATTTTACTGTACTAAATAATCCTTAATAAACGTTTCCCAAATCATCAAAAGTGTATGCTTATATTAACTACGAAAAAATAGTACATGAATGAGTAGTGCTGAACGGGTTTGAACAATTTGGATGAAGTAATAAATTCGAAGTTCAGTGGTACCATTATATATATATATATATATATATATATATATATATATATATATATATATATATATATATATATATATATATATATAATTATATATATATAATTGAGAAAAATATTGTCAAAATATTTCAATTTTAGGTGCAAATAAATTTAATAATTTAACTTTGGATTTGATGTTTGTCATTTTAAATGACATAAATTATGTCATTTTAAGAGAGAGATAGACACAAGGAATGAAAATCATGGGGGAGAAAGTGAGTAGCTTTTTTTTAATTTAAATTTTAAATATATAAAAAATTGTGTCTATCTCTCTCTTAAAATGTCATAACTTTATGTCATTTAAAATGACAAACACTTTTCCCTTTAACTTTTGATTGTTCTAATTATGGATCTTAATATGTTTAATTCAATTTACAATATTTAGTTGTGATCGGAGAATGGCAAGTAAACACTAGGAAACAATGACAAAATTAATGAAGGATTATTATATTTTAAATATTTATAAATATTTAATTCAAATTAAGACAATATTCTTTAAAATAATTTTATAATCTAAATAAAAATTTAAAGAATTTATTTATACTAATTATTATTTGAAAATTCCAATTATAAAATAGGAATGGATGTTAACTATTCTCACATTTGAATGCAACACAATTAGGGATGTAAATAAATTCGACCAAGTGAGACTTCAACCTAAATGGGCCTATGTAAATTATTTTAAGACTTACTAGATTTGTTAGTATGATACAAGCTAAATGACTCGACTTTTTTAAAAATTACAAGGCTTGACTCGACCTATCATGTCTTCAAAAACGACATATTGCTCTCCGTAAAATATAGATTATGATTATTTTGTTCATTTTGTATATTTAATTTGATAAAAAGTCAAAATAGTACAATAATTGAAGTCACACCTGACACCACAACCTTGAAAATTGACAATTTAACTATGTTGCTGGAAATAAAAAATAAAAAATGGCAAGGATGTAAAATGCTTAATTATTTAAAAAAATAAATATATCCACTCACTCATGTATTATATAATTTCACTCAACAAAAAGAAAAATCGTGATTATTACAAAAGCCAAAAGTTAAAACAATAAATCGTTTAACAACATCATCAAAACTTCATTAAGAAATTTAGGTGGATGGATAATTTAAAAGGGATGAGAAGTTGAGAAGGGAGCAAAAGAGTAGCAAAATTTGACGGAGTAGAGAAAATCAACAGCAGCAAAGAAATTTAGGATTAAGAAAATATGTGTTTGGCAAGTGAGAAGAGAGAAAATTGCGAAAAACTAAAAAATTGTAAGATATTATTTATTGAAAAATAACAAGATAGATAATAATATACTATTTTATCAAAAAATAGCAAGACACTATTTTATTTAAAATAAAATAGAATATTATTTCTGCTAAACTAGCCTTGTGACTTGATTTACGAAGAACTTTTTAACGAGTACAAGTATATATTATTATTAAAATAGGTCAAGTCAAACCAAATCAAAACAGATCAAATTGTAAACCCTTAACAGTCTGGCAGATTTATACTCTTAAATACAATCTTATTTCAGCGGGTCATAGGTTATTTTATTATTTTTCCCACTATATCCCTCCCTATACATGAACCCAGCACCTTAATATCTACTCCGGTAATGCACCCGTCGTATGGTCCGCCGAAAACGATGCTACCATGAACATGGATCTGGCCCAGATTCTCATGCTTCTTCTACATCCTTGTTAAACTCTCAATTTCTTGAGCGTCTCTGTTGCGTTGTCGTTTTTGTCATTAGAACTACAACCACACCCAAATTAAGTGGGGTTCTTTGCAGGGTTTAGACTGGACGAGGTGGGTGATATTTTCACAAGTCCTAGTCCTAATACTCTTTCTCTCACACACACAAATACACAAGGAGTTCTCTAAATATACTTTTCTATTGTATTGCTGATTCTGTCAAGCCACTTTACGAGAGTTACAACGTGCTTTTTATAAACAACAACAAATGATTAAGTATAATAATGACTAACATAAGAAATCTAAACATATTAATTATCCACTGCCTAGGGACACACCATAAACCAAAACAAAACCCTTCATATTTCTATTTTCTTTTATTTAAATTAAAGATTAATTTAACAGTGGCCAGTATCATTTCAATCTTTTATCACGCAATGGATAATATAATTATTAAATTGAAGCCTTGGTCCTTGTCAAGAAGATTCAATTTTTGATCAGCAAAACAGGAATTGTGGTAAGATATTTGATGGGGTTACGTCTATCACTACTTAAAACCTAACAATAATCACCATGCTTCTTAAAACCTAACAATTACTGCAATTCGCCATATTGTGGTTATGCATGCACAGTCATCACTACAAGCAATAAGGCATGTGTTAGAGGAATAATATGAGAAGTTATGATGTTGAACCAGGGATTTTGACCACTATGCCCTTTATTAATTATCAAATAACCAATTTACCCCTAGTTCAAACCATTTCACTCTTTTGCCCCAGTTTAATCGATTACAACAAGTACATAATCGATTACACGTTCAAAACCAACGTTGACTGTTGACCCATGATGTAATCGATTACATCACGACTTGTAATCAATTACAAAATTTAAAAATATTGACGTTAACCACGTGATGTAACCGATTACATCATGCATTGTAATCGATTACATCGATTATTCTTACACCAATGTAAGAATATCTTGTCCATATATATATATATATATATATATATATATATATATATATATATATATATATATATATATATATTTCGAGAGAGAATATATCTTTAGCAAGCACAAAAATAAGTGTGGGACCCACGTGAAAGATAAAAGAGAAAAAAACACATATGTCTCACACCTATTTTTGTGTTTGCTTGTTATATATATTCTTTCTTTTGTAAAAGGAGAAAAAGATATTTATTCTTAAAGTAATATATATATATATATATATATATATATATATAAATATAATCTTAGGCTGATTTCCTGGTAATGAAGTCTACAAATTTGAATAAAAAAGAATTGTATTGATAGGCCATGAGAATATCTTCGGTGCATCTTCTACTCAAAATGTAATATGTGTTTTATTTTTGTCAAATTATTAATAAATAATTTATTTTAAAAATTAGATGATAGAATAATTTGATAAAAAATAATATACATATCAAATTATGAGTAAAAAATACACTTAAAACTCAGTACATACCTACCACGAAATAAATTTTCCATTAGGTTGATTTGAGTAAGACAAGCATGGGGTGACAGGTGGTATAAAAAACAAATGGCATAACATTAATAGGTGCAATATTTCAAGCAAATGGAAGCAAGTTGATTTTAGTGATCAATAATAGCGGCCATTAAGCTGTGATGATTAATAGTAATCCAAGTAACCATAACTTACTTTTTCCTCCCTTTTATTTGATATTTTTGATTTGCTACGGACACAGGAGGGGATTAAGCTGGAGTTAGCTTGTTGGGAAGATATTTTCTTGCTTGCTGGTTGTTGTAAATTACATTGAGAGAGATGAAGAGAAGGGATTTGATTTAAATTCATCATTTATGCTATATTATGTACTTGAATTTTAATTACCATTCATGATTGCTTTAGCATTTTAATTACCATTCTCTAGCTGAGAAGTCTCATAGTCACATCGCTGAAGGAGAGGCCTCTTTACCTTCTGCTCTTGAATTGAAATGAAGATTTGAAGAGCTTTCTTTTCTTTCTTTTACTACCCTCTGCCCTCTCTCTCTCTCTAATACATAGTACATTGGAAAATTATTTATTGAAAAAAAAAAAAAAAAAAAAACTATCCATAGAGACATCTGTTTGTTAAGGAAAAGACACATGCAAATATGCAATGATACAACCTGCATAAGCAACAGAAGTCAACAAACCAACAACTGAGAGAGATAGGTACATAGAGTGACACCCTTTAAGGCTTGCCTTTACTCCTGAGCTACACAGGATGGTCCTCCATCCATTTTCAAGTTTTGTACCTTTCCTTCCTTCCCTACCATATTCTCTTTTTTTCTTGCAAACATAGATATGAGGTGATTCTGTGTTTTTTTAAGGATCTTTGAGGCCAGACCCCATCTCAAGCAACCATTTCTTCTCTCTTACTCCCTTTGAATTTTCTCGTGTTTCTGGGTAACCCTTATTCTTCTAGAATTGATGTCTGGTTTGTACAATCAGATTTCCTCACCTGCAACAGCAAGGGCCAATTCACCAAATATAAACATGAGAAGCAGTTTTCATATTGATAGGTACATGTGGGGTGATTCTTCTTCTGCTATTTATGTGTATACGTATATGTATGGCGTCAGGACTTCAATTAACTTCAAGGTGCATATTATTATTTATGTTTCTTATAGTCAGTACTTAACGGAGCTGCTGGCAGAACATCAGAAGCTTGGACCTTTCATGCAAGTCCTACCCTTGTGTACCAGGCTCTTAAATCAAGGTCGGTTATTCTAAATCTTTATATTCAAGGTTTCTGTTGTTGAGGATTCCCTCCTTTTATTTTTCTATTCGATTCAACTGATCTCACTTCTCATTTCACATGAATTGGACTTGGTCATAAACTCAGTTTTCTGGTTACTTGGACTAGTATCTCATTAGGATTATTATCTCCTTTAAAATGCACTGAATTGTCAAGTTATGTCTTCTCGCCGGGTTGAAATATAGTAGGATTTCATTTCAGTTTACTGGTTAATGCATAACTCCGTCATCGCTACAATTGCTAAAGGAATTAGAAATCTATATTGCTAAATAAAATACTAAGTGACCGGATTAGTCTCCTATATACGTGGCAAAAGCAAACTTCCACATGTTTCTCCACCACTCTCCAATAGCTAGTTCCTTCTTTTTCTTGTTTTAATGTTGATCTATAAACCATTCATGTATTGACGTAAAAAATGTGATTCTTAGCCCATCAAGTTCAGCTGTTCGGGCACTTTGATTATCTGTTTTCCACTGTGTCAAGGGCGGCAATCTTGTCTATATTTGTGAAATTTGCATCGGCTCCCTTAGTATGTTTATTTTGAACCAGCGCATACAACTTGATTTCTTTCTACCATATATACCAGTATTTGTCATTTATTTCTTTTTCATATTTTCACTTCTTTTCTCTGTTTATCCGTTAGTCATTTCATTTGCTAAGAGGCTATGACCAATTTTACATCAGAGGATAGCTGGAGTACAGGGACTAAACGTGGATTGGCAAACAGCACCAGTAGTCTCAGGTTCTCTCACATTGTGAAGAGGATATTGCGTTTGGATATTCCTAATGATAGCTGTCCAAATGTAAGATATGTGAAATATTTCAATGCATTTTGCTGTAACTTATATAATTTTATGTTGTACTGACCTTTGAGTCACTAATTTGATCTCAAATTTCAGTTCAATTTTGTTGGACTGCTTCTTGGCCCTAGGGGTAATTCACTAAAGCGAGTGGAGGCTACCACTGGTTGCCGTGTATATGTCAGAGGGAATGGTTCAATAAAAGACCTAGATAAGGTATCATCTCTTCCTCAGTGTATTATCTTGCAACTCCTATGAACCTAATTTAATGTCATAGTTGCTCTTCCTTTCAATTTATTGACGCAGTTTTTTTTTTTCCACAACATATATTGTTTGTAATTGTAACTGTTAACTTTTTTCTCCCTTTTATATTATCAAGGAAGAGTTGTTAAGGGGAAGGCCGGGCTATGAGTACCTGAATGAACCGCTGCACGTTTTGATTGAGGCTGAGCTACCTGTCAATGTTGTTGATATAAGGCTGAGGCAAGCACAAGAAATCATAGAACAGCTAATTAAACCCGTGGTATCTCTTTTTAACTCTGTTTCTGATCTCTGACTCAGAATATTACCATAGAGATTTTTTGTTCCTTTTTTCCCTTGACACATGGCCTTTTAATATATAGCATTTTATGCAAAGTGTTGTCAATTGTTTTCCTTTTCTTAAGTTAACAGGAATCCTATTACCGTAAAACTCCCAACTGTTTTGGTATTCTGGCAAGTACCCGAGTTAAAAAAAAAAGAAAAAAAGTCAGTTTATGAGCATAACTTATTTTTTCCCCACTCTTCTGGTGTTTCCTTACTATTCTGTTCAGTATATCACTTAAGGTAATTAATCCACTATTTAGTATTTACTTTCTTCAACATTATAGGAAATAGCTGCACCTCAACAGAGAGACGTGTAGAAAGCAAGTTTTCTTTTAAGCCAAATGTTCCATAAGTGCTTGGCAAAACAATATTGAAGGTAAATTCTTGTGTTGTATAGAAATACTTTTGATTTTCCTCCATTTTCATGTGCAGGATGAATCACAGGACGTCTACAAAAGGCAACAACTAAGAGAACTTGCCATGCTCAATTCCAGTTTTAGAGAAGAGAGCCCTCAACTGAGCGGTAGTCTCTCTCCATTCACCTCTAATGAAATAAAACGGGCCAAAACTGACCAATAGTGTACCTATATCCAGTATTGTTGCATTTGATGTTATTTCCGGTTGATCAGTATTTGTATAACTGTAATGTGAATAAATATGACACTGCTGGGGCCTTGAAACTGTTTATTGATGATTCATGATAGTATGGAAAAGATATATTTCATATCAGATATTGTACTTTACTGAGCACACTAACATCATGCTTTATTATGATTTATGATGCCCATGTCTCAGGGTAGGCTTTTTGACCCTTATAATCCTTAATTAATAACTAATTACCAAATTGCCCTTCATTCAAAACTATTTTGAAAATTTACCCTCCCCAACAAACATAACACCAATCTGCCCCTGTTTGACCGTTGACCACGAAGCCTACCCGGGTACACCATTACCTACCCGGGTAAATTTTGAAACTTTTTATCTACCCGAGTATGTAGGGGTGTACCCGGGTAGAGTTCTTGAATCTGGGAAAATGTTTGAATTATTTACCCGGGTAAGGAGCAGTGTACCCGGGTAAACATCGACGGTAGGGTTTTAAAATACCCCAGCAGCCCCATTTCGAAAACCCACAAAAGGGGTACCCGAGTAGAGCTGCTGGAGGAGTGTCTTCTTGAGCGATTTCAGGCATAATCTTGCACCAATTCGTCTTGTTTCTGATCATCATTCGCGGACCTTGCAACCTCTCTGCCTTCTACCGATTGAAATCGATCAAAGGTGCATTTTTTTTTCAGTTTTTTCAATTATGTTATGATTCCTGTTCTGATTCATTGTATTTTCGTTTATATCATTTGATTCTGTCCGAATTATTTTATCAATTTGTATGTCATACGCTTACCCTAACCCTAACCCTAACCCTGAATCTAACCCTAACCCTAACCCTAACATGTATCTAATTTCTGATTTTGGTTATTTTTTCAGTTTAATAGCGTGACACAATGACCTCTCGACGCGTTTCAAAGCTGCCAGTGACACATTCCGAGAGAAGAACCAAGAGTCGTCACGATGGGTCGTCATCCTCTCAGCCCCAGGCTGCTTCGAGTCAGGCTCCAGACTTGACGTTCGGATATTTGTTTGAGGATGACATACCTTCACACGAGAAGTTCGTGAAGTTTTTCATGACCCGGAAGATCTGCGAACCGAAATCACTGGATTCGGCATTCTTCAACCTAGAGCGTTTTGACATTGTGCCGCTTCTTGAGCAGACACATTTACTTCACCTGGCGGAGATGCGGTGCCCATACTCGGAGGTTATGGTAAGAGCCTTCTACCAGAACCTTGGCTACTCGCAAGGCGAGCTGACTTCCCGTGTCTGCGGGATTGATGTCATCATGACTGCTCCTATCTGGACGGAGCTACTGGGGTTCGATTTTGATGGTGTCACAGGAGCAGCACTATATGATGGAGACAGCCATCATATATTTGGTGATTATAACCGGGAGACCATTGTTACAGAGACTAGGAGGGCAGACGCTGAGCCCGGTCATTTTGCTCATTATCCTGTTAGCAACTTGTCAGTTTCTGCTCGCATTCTTCATTATGTGGTGACACATATTATTTTCCAGCGCCCGCATAATCACTCAAAGGTGCTGGAAGGGGACTTTGTCATCCTGTGGGCCCTCCTTCACAGTCAGCAGGTGAACTGGAGGCATTACATATGCATACTGATGTGGAAGGCAGCCAAGTCAAAGAAGGCTGAATTGCCTTTTGCATTTCTGGTGCAGAAGATTCTGCATAGATTTGGAGTGCCTATGGCAACAGAGACCTTGAAGACCGCCAGAGACTGGAATGCTATATTTGGTGAGAGGCTCCTGAAGCAGTGTGGGATCCTACCGAACAGAGCGGGTATCTGGACGTGGAAGAAGGCACCAGAACCACCTGAGATCCCATTCCACCACGATGCTGAGATGGAGGATGCACCTGCAGGTGATGTGTTGGTCTTTATGAGTTTATGCAATTTTGTGTTGTTTAATTTTTAATGTGGTATTGAAGTTTGTTTTTCATGGTTTATGATGTAGGCCTTGATGATGATGACGATGATGATGGCGTTGCTGAGGTTGATGTCAGACCGACACGTCCCACCCGCAGTCGGCGACCACCAGCTCCTCCTGAGGGTGGATGGACACTTGATCATGTCATGGCATCCATATATGATCTGACTACTGACTTTAGAGGATATAGACAGAGCACGAGCAAGTGGCGAAACCAGATGGACACAAGGGTTGCACGGTTGGACACAAGGGTTTCACGCTTGGAGGGTTTAATTGGCGAGGGTGCCCATACTCAGGAGGAGGAGGAGGAGGATGATGACAATGGGGATGACACACAATCGGATGAAGAGAATGGGGAGGACACGCCATCGGATTAGTGTGTCCATAGGGTTTCATATCATTGATTTAGTTTGATGTAATGTAGTCATTTTGGTACATTTAGGAACTTTACCTACATTGCATGGATGTTTTTGTACTGGATGTTCAAAATTGGAATGAATGAAATTTTCGTTTTGCGCACGTTCAGACTTGTTGGTTCTATGCATTAGTATGGGACCTTGCATTAATATTGTCATAGTTAATTTGGAAATCAATTCAACCCAAAGTACTTTAATATTCATGTTCAACTTTCATTGGCGCACATCTTGATTACTGCATCCTAGTTCTACGAAATCAATCCACCCCCAAGTCATACCGTATGTAGGTATTGCACAACAATTACCAAAATGCAAAAAAAATTGCCAAAACAGCATCTGCAACAACATCTGCAACTGGTCTACCCGGGTACCACAAACTGGTCTACCCGGGTACCCCCATTATGGGTTTTGGCAGAAAGATAGAGAGGATTGTGGTGGCTGGGGACATGATGGCCCCGTGGTGGAGAAAAGAAATCTAAAATAGCCTTATTTTACACAGACAATCATTAATAAGTCAAGCCAAAAGAAGCTTAGCTTGTCTCAGTAGAGTTACGGATAATGATGCTCTCCGGCAAGTATACCGATCGCACAAGTAATATAATGAGTAAGCGGAGTATCGTCTCCACAGGGATTGTAAATCAAGTACTACAATAACCAGTCCCCTTAAGTTGGAAAACTCGGTTTGTTGTTTGGAAAAATTGCGAAATGATTTTAGTAACAATATGAAATAAAAATAAAGACTTGTTTTTATATTTTTATTTAAGAGAAATAAAACAATAACAATGAGATTTGATTTTAAAGATATGAGAAAAATATTGTAGCTAGAGCGCACTCACCTTATGATTCCCACTTCTTACTTTGGATTGATTCACAATATTTATTCATATAATTACTTGAATAAATTATTATCTAAAAATATTTATTAGTTAACCCTCAATTCCTTGCAAGGTTAACCCTTTAATCCCCAATTGGAACCCCAATTCCTTGCAATGTTCCTCATGGTATTAAGGAATGAACGCAATAATTTAAGCATCCGCAATTAAATACACATCTATTTCTAGCATGCATACCAATTGTTGTTTTACCCCCTTTCAAGATCAAAACCCCAATATTCCTATCTAGGGTTCTAACCCTCAAACTATTCCCAATTATCAGATTGATCAGTTCTAATGAGGAAAATAGAAAATACGCACAAGGTAGAAACAAAGATAATTATATAAATGAATAAAACTAAATCAATCCATCGTAACAAGGGTTCACATATGGCTCGTGACCCTAACTACAATAAAAGAAAACTAGCCAAGCATAATCATGGCTAAAAATAATTCAATATTCAAAAGCATAAAATTACAGAGAAATAGATGAAGAAGAAGAACAGTGGAAGAATCCTTCTGAGCTCTGCCGTCGGCCTCCTCTTGAATGGAATGAGATGATCTAGGTCTAGCACAAGGATCCTATTTATAAACTTATGTTTTCCTTCTTCCAAAAATACCCCCGCGGAAAGACGGTGTTATTTTCTCGCAACCCGGCGCCAGTTGGCGCTGGTTTGGCGCACGTTTGCGCCAACTTGCTGCCTCGAATACGAAAAGTCGGAACCGATTGCGTGGACCGGCGCCACCTCCTTGTTGTTGGGCGCCACTTGGCGCCATTTACTTACTTTTGGGCGCCTAGTGGCGCCATAATGTTGGTGCTTAATATGTGTGGCGCTAGTTTGCGCCAATCGGCGCTAACTAGCGCCAATTCTCTGGTATTTGGCCTGCGCAGCACCCGGGTGAAATTTCCTATGTGTGGAGTCGCGTCAACAGGCTTTTTGTAATTTGTAATTTTCACTCCTCTTTTTCCTGTAAAAACACAACCAAAAGGTAAATATTATTGATATAGAAAGAATCAATATAAATAGCAAATATGCATTTAAATTGCTCTCTTATGACCCAATTCTTATCAATTTTAACATGGAAAAACCACACTTCTTGCCAGAGGCACATCAGACAACAACATCCACCTCTACATTAACCTCAAAGGCCCTACCATTAGAAATTACCCTGAGACATGGGCATCATAAATCATAATAAAGCAGGATGTTAATGTGCTCAGTAAAGTACAATATTTGATATGAAATATATCTTTTCCATACTATCGTAATAGTAAAGTACAATCGTTGATTCGCGAAAATCAAAAATTAAGATATGATTATAAGAGTTTGTAAACTATTTGAGTTGTAAATATAATCCCTCCCATAGTTATTATATTGTTTATTAGGTAGAAAAATATTTAATATTTAAAATTTAAAATTTTCAAATTTAAATTTTGAACTTGATGGGTGGAAAATAGTTCTTCATTTAATGTTTTTGTAGTAAAAATAAGATATATATAATAAATTATACTTAATATAATATTATAAATTAAATGAAAAATATTTAAAATTATAAAATATATGTATAGTTGATAAAAAATAATTTAAATGAAAAAAAAAGAAATGACACATTTATATTTTAAAAGAAACTAAATCAAAAGTTTAACTTAAAAGAATAATACAAAAAGAAAAAAATTAGTACAAGTATTTTTTTTAAACAAAATTTAACATAAAAGTTTTAAATATATATGTATAAGCAATATAAAAAATATAAAAATTATAAATTAAAAGATAAAAATAATTTTTTTTCAAAAAATATGTATAATCAATACAAAAGAGTTTAAATAAGAAAAATGACATCTATCATTTTGTAAAAA